CATTAAGGAAAAATATGCAAGGAAAGTATTTGAACTATTCGCCGTTGGAAGGATCTGTGGACTCGGCTGTCATGAGCCTGAGAGAAAATGATTTAGTCAGAGGTTCCTCCTATATACGGTAACTGATAGACTTAAAAATGTCATGTCACAGTTGGTACAATTCTTGCAGCTTTTTGAAAAAGTTCATGAAGTCCTCAAAGGTATGAGAGAGGGGATTCAGTTCCTACTTCTCATCCTCCTTCCTCCCATCAATAACCATCCTTGTCTGTTGTAATATCGATTGCTTTTTCCCTAAAATAGAATATAGTCACCATATAATTTCTGCACCAGCAATAATAATGTTTAGAGACAATATTCAAAAGAAATAGGAGGCATAGCAGTATAGCTTGTATAGTGAGAAATAACATTCATTTCATTCATCATCACTGATATGAGCAGACCACTCAACAACTAACTTGTACAAACAAAGAAACTAGGATAAGAGAAAATAAACGTACATTATGTCACATTATAAGTTGTAAGTGTTCAAGTATTAACCAATTGTGTCTACCCAGTTTAGTAATATCAGTGAATTGAATCGACAATTACTGATTAATGTTGCGTATTCCAATAATGTTACGGATTTAACCAGGGTTTGACATTTACACTAGTAATAGACTCGTTACACTTTTGACTTGTTAATTGATGAACATTATCAAAAGATAACTAGAAATTGTTGGCTAAAAATTTGATGGGCTTTTCACTGTAATGACTGATTTGGCCTTCTAATAATAACTTGTGCAAGTCTTCAGTAGCTGATGCAGTAGTGGGAGATTCCCAGATTGCGAAATGATGTCAGAGAAAGAATGGATAAATACAGGCAGCCCAAATGAATTTCTAGATAAAAGTTCACGACATATTGACATACCCTGCCAAATTCACACCTTACCGGGGGGGGGGGGGGGGGGGGGGTAACTCGTCACAGGGTAACAGTTATAATTTGTATGTACGCTCACTAATTAGTTGCCCTCATATCACGATGTGCATTCTTTTCCCATGGAGTTCTTAAATTTATAAACATCTATTTCAGTATTAAGATGGACTTCTAAATTAACAGTATAAAATATTAATAATTAAATTATGTTGAAAAAGGCCTTCTAACAAAGATCTAAATTTAACATACAAATATTCGGCGATGAGTAATGGCCGCCGTAATTTGCGTTTCGGAAATCCTCTAACAATATTGTAGGCCGTTGCAAATGCAATGAAATTGATGTCATCCAAATAGACTACCCGACTCGGGTGCACTTCGGTATGAGAAAGAGGCAGTTTCCAATCTCTGAAGTATATACGTCTCTGGTTGAAGTTAGGGTTAATTATGTCTTAAATATTGCCCCTGACTAGTAGGGGTAGGTCTCACAAAAAGCTATTCTGAGGTGCTTTTTTAAAATATGCCATCAATAAATATTCTTTCAAACTCCGTTCAGTATTTTCCCCCTCCAAAAATAAGGGGAGGGGAATAAAGATGGCAAAGTTTCGAAAGAAAAATAGTTAACATGTTCTGTCAAGATTAAGGTAGACCTATGGCTTGGGTATAAACACAATAATAGACTACCCGACACAGGTGAGCTTTGGTATGAGAAAGAGTCAGTTTCCAACCTCTGTAGTATATATGTAGTATATATGTCTCTGGTTGAAGTTAGGGTTAATTATGTCTTGAATATTGCCCCTGACAAGTAAAGGTAGGTCTCTCAAAAAGCTATTCTGAGTTATCTTTTTTTGTATATGTCATCAATAAATAATTCTTTCAAACTCCATTCAATAATTCCCCCCTCCGTATATAAGGGGAGGGGTATTAAAATGGCAAAATTTCGAAAGAAAAATAGTTAACATTTTCTGTCTTTTAAGTTGGGTATAAAGTAAAACAGAATATTTTTTTGTCATTTCCTTTAGGCATATGGCCTCAGACCACAAATACACTTCCAGGTCGTTGTACACGAATGTAGTGGGTAAGGACATTTCTGTTGGTTACTAAATAAGTGTTTCTATCTGATCTATGACAGATATGTACAGTTTTTTTTACATAAGGGAGGTGGGAGATCCAACGTCCATGAATGAATGTTCTTTTTGTTTCAGCGCCTCCAAGGGATGGATTAATTCCTATGGAATTCAATAGTCCAGTCCAGGGAGTAATGGAAATTAAGTAAAAAGATGACTGGACAACATCCACTTGAAGTTACTTGGCATATTTATTGCAGTTTACTAGTTTCAGCTTATTAGATAAGCCATCGTCAGAACAATTGTTTACAATTCAAACCAGACCTGAAGTATGAAATGCAGTGCCTCTGCCAGGCAACGATCACATGGTGTAAATAGTGACGTCATAGTTCATGAGTCCATAATTTGGCAGACTTTTCCAAGCTAACACATGGCTATGGCAGAGTTAATGATGAATGCATTGTAATTAGTAAAAAAAGATCATGATCACAATGATGGATAGTACTAGTGTTGACTTATCATTACTTGAAAATGGATATTGTAAAGTACATGTATACTACACTAGTGGTAATTAGATAACAGTGTCCATTGGATAAATGGTGCTAAAGTGTCCAGGTAAGTAAGGTAGGTAAACAGATGGCCAACCGCTACCTACCTTCAAGGAGACCTGGAACCACGGTATAGACGTCAAACCCATCTTCAGAGTGGTACCGGCGAAGCATACGGAACTTTAATCCATCTGTTTACCTACCTTACTAACCTGTGATACAACCATAACTGAATACAATTCCTCCTCGGATTTTTCAATGTTTTAAAAAATTATGGTTTGGTGATCCGATTTGGGTACTGTCACCTTACACTATGCATGTACTGCAGACCAGGATCTTCTTAGGGAAAATACCCAAAATTACAAAATATCAATGTGCAACTTGCAAGCTATCTTTTGTCCAGTCATCTTTTTACTTAGTTTTTTACATAGAATTGTTAACAATATCTATTCTGGTGATTACATTTTTGTTTGACAAAGTTTTCAAGTATATATTCGCAGCAGGACACAATGAGTGATGAGGCTTGCAAGTTGCACATTGATATTTTGTAATTTTGGGTATTTTTTCTAGGAAGATCCCGGTCTGCAGTACATGCATAGTGTAAGATGACAGTACCCAAATCGGATCACCAATCCATAATTTTTTAGAACATTGAAAAATCTGACCTTTAAAATGTATATGACGAAAAGTATTTCTATAGTATGAATTTATTCCCATAGTCCAAAACAGATTGCATAGTCGTTGCACGCGCCATTTTTTTAAAACGTAATCAAAACATTGACATTTGAGTTTGAATTACGTTTTCTACTCCCACCCTAAATTAATTTGTAGTTCCTGCCAGGTTAAAAATCAGCAACCCCCAATCATCTGATGGGTTATAGAAGTGATTTAGATGCTCCCCATACACAAAACTATTGTACCATTCTATGATAACACAGGGAATTGTATGGCTCATAGTGACCAACAACTACGGCATGTTATTGGCTATGACGATCGCATTTATAAACCGGGGGAGGAGCCCCGACGTCACGGACAATGAATTTGTATCAAAACAAGTTTGAGGGGTAAACAAACATGGTCATAATTTGATACCATCTCACTGAACTTACTACTCTTACTACAATCCGACTATATAAACCTTCATGATGTGATGAAATGATGACGCATCTTTATTTTAGCAAACACATTGTGAAAAATGGAAAAGGATGTATTGGCGGCTAATGATGGATGGTGGTATGTTGTTGTAAAAAAGTTGTATGAACCAAAAAGGTGTTGGTGATAAAAAACATAATTTACACAAACGATAGATAAAATATAAACATATTCATTGCTTACATTTTTTTCTGCCGATGGCAATAGAATTGAGATGATGGTTGTTGATGATGTTGAGAGGTCATTGAGAGGTCAGCTGCTATCAATCGGCAATCAGGAAGATGTAAACATCCGGTTGCATCACGGGTATATATATCGAGGCCGAACATTTCCGAAGATTTCGAAAATTTTAACTGCCTTGCTAACGATACAAAACTTATTTAGAAGTCGAAGAAAATTTATTTAGTTAATATTTACAGTTTTGTTTTTGTTTTTGATAAACCACGTAGAAAACATTTTATTAATCAATATGTTTTTAAGTTGCGTGTAGCATGCATGACCTAGTCAAGTGGAAGTTCCCGATTGAGATAAACAGGGTGCTTTTTCAAAAAGAATACGACGCTGTGATAAGATCATAGGTTCTACCAAGGTAAGGAATGATATTTACAAGCCATTCAAGTACATTTGAGTCCAAAGTAACGCATAATAAAGACAGTAGGTCCAGTATATGATTCAATTTAGTACCATTGTGTACCGCTAGAGCGGCGTATGTGTGAAAATGACATTTATGAATATCTTGAGCTCATTACTGAAGTAATACCGATAGCTTGCGGCTAACGCCTTAGCTAAAAACCGTTATGACAACAAACCCATATCTATGATTAACCAAAAGTGTTATCACAACATACCAATATTTATAATAAACAAACACTGCTATCACAATAAACCCATATCTATGATTAATCAAAACTGTTTTCATAACATTACAATTTATATAAACCTGTATGTTATTAAACCATATTGTGAAACCTGTATCTTTGATAAACCAGACTTGCTCATAAAACGAATCTTTCATAGGTTGTATGTCACATTTTATTGTTATACAACATGTACATATATATCTAAGTTATTTTACTGTGTAACTGCATATCGTCACTTGTATGTTATCAAACATGACTAGATTTAAAACAAAGGCTTTTATCTTAATTATATAACAATTTATTTCACCAAGATATCTTATAGTACATATATGCACAACATGTTTGTATATTTGTTATCAAGTATAATCACATTTGTAAAATATACAACATGGATATCTTTTGTCAATACATATATGCAAAAATTTGAATGTGATCTCATACTTATTACAGTTATTCCACTTACCTCATTAGCTTGTTGATGGCGATGTGACTAATAGAGTCTGAGTCCATCTTACTGTTTATCTTCTTCTCATAGTAGACCTGGACGTCCTCTATCTGTAGGGGGTCTTGTGTCAACCAGTACTGGTCTTCTGTTCTCATATCCAGCTCATCATACTCCTCCTCACTGTAATGTATAAAATAGAGCAATAGCACTTGTATTCAATTTTACCGAGTGAAGGAGATTTTCTAGGAAAATAAGACAGAGTTTTCAAAATTATTTCAGTTCAAATTGCACATTTACTGTACAATTCACAAATGTTTCATCGGTTGAATAATATTTGTAAAGGACTGTTACTGTTTCTCATGCATGTGTTCCTTTATAACATACAGACTATACATTTAAATTGTTTATGCGAGAGCATGTTAAATCTAGTAAACAAGTCTCTGCGATTCTTTTAAAGTTAATTTTGGGTTGTTGTAAGGCCCTTTTTCCTGGTTAATTTCTTCTTTCCCAAAGCCACAAGGCACTGAGGCCCCTGTGGAAAAGAGGAAGAAAAATCACTGTATCCAGAAAAGGCTGATAGTCATGGGTTCTATTCTAATTCATGTATCTTCTCTACATCTATACCATTGGAAAATGTCATGACAAAATTAAAGGCTCTGATTGCTTTTCTGCATTTGTTAGTCTACCAATAATGCTGATCAGAGTCTGATTTGCACCTCATTATGTCAGGTTCCTCTCCATGGATATCTTTAAACATGTCCCGCAACATATCTTGGTTCTCCTCACTCATATATAGAGTCTGCAGCTTTACTCGAACATCCTGTCTCCTGAAAATTAAATTGCATACAATTAAATCATTTCTAATAATGGAATTAATATCGCTTGTCATACATGTGGTGTAACCGGAATAGAAAAACGCTATGATCCGATTAGGATTCAAGAACCCTGCCAGACTTCCAAACTCTAAACAGATGCTCTCACAAAATGTCAGAACTACTAACCTGATCTGTAGTAGAGGAATATGGCCTTAACACCAGACTTAGACGTTTTGACAGATAGATGTCTGGTGTGGGGGCAGAGCCACGTTTTCATTCATATAGGAGCACACTCTGGCCCCACACCAGACATCTAAATGTCTAAATCTGGTGCTAGGGCCAGAGGAAACTCAGGCTGAATTAGCTACCAGCATGTAACTGGTAATCAACCTTGTGCCTAGCCATTACATTCTTCGCAAGGTAGTTCAATGCTAAATGTGTTTGTTAGTAAACATGTTAAGGATAATGCATGAGGTGAAACAGAGTGTAAGAAACTATGCTTATAGAGATTGATATCACACAAACAAACCATGTACCACAATCATTATACAGCAAGTTGTCAACATGCAATGAGATTGCTTCAGTGTATGTCTAGGTCTTTGTCTACCGAATAATTGACCTACTTCATCATATTGAAGATTATGTCAATGTAGGGTTGTAAGAGTGTGTGCATCGCAAAGAAAGATGTGGTGTTGTGTGTATGAAATACTAGTGATTTAGAGAGTGAAGTTTGGTTTCAAAGGTGTCAAAAGATTCTGAAGCTACCAGCTGGTCAAGAGGCAATTTATTCCACCCTGGGACAGTTCTAGGAAAGAAAGAGAATTTACGACAGTCAGCTTTACATTGAGGAATCTGATAGTAGAGATGATGAGAATGTCTGGATTGTCATAACTGTGGTGTAAAATGGAGGTATTTATTGATGGCAATTTTATTATGTGATATTTCATACATCATAATAAAACGGGCATCCTTAAGCTTACATCTATAAGCGAGCTAGGCTGGGCCAGTTAAGATGTTGGATCATGTCACTAACGCTTGAGGTGTTATATAGTAGCGGTTATAGTGACAAATCTTGCAACTCTACGCTGTACCATGTCACAGGTCCAGTACACTTATATAGCTGTAAAGACCTATAATAGCTCTCGATCTATTGACCTATCTGAAATAGGTCTTTTGAGCTATTTTCATTTGATTTCTTTTTTTAAGGAAAACAAAACAAAGTCGCTTTTAAAAGAAGACTTTATCATTAGGTTGATAACAAAAGACATTAAATGTATGCTTTCTTTTTAAAAATTCTTTTTAAAAAATATTGATGTAAATAAATCAGAAATTTTACATTTATGAAAAATGAAAATAAACATCTAACTATGTGTATGCTTTTTGTAGTCAACAATATCATCAACCTTATTGTTTTATACAGCCTTATTTTAATTTAATGAAAATTGAAATCTGAGAAAAGAAAGCTCAATACAGCTATAATTTATAGGTGAATATAGCTATATACAGGTTGGGGAAAAATAGCCAAAACCACTTTAATCTTATCTTTTTCAAATTGTTTGTCCAGGTCGCATTTATTCTTACATGAAACATAATACAAATGCAAAAATAAACTTTATTTGCATGTGGGAAAGTACCAAAAATAGATGCAATACTTTAAGTAAAGTTACATCAAGTTTCTAAGTAGCCAACACTTTCAGTCAACATCTTTTAGCAAAATATTATTTACCTTGTCGAAAATTAATGCGATTTTCAATAATATCTTGCAAAAGTTAATGCTAGAGCGATTTGGGTTATTTTTAGTAACAAATCCATACTCCAACTTGCGTTTAATAGGCTAGTTTGCGTATATACGCAAGTTTGTGGTTTTCCCCAACCTGATATAGGTCTTTATAGCTATATAGCTCAATCGTCAGAGTGTACTAGACCTGTATCGAGCTTGTTTATATCACCTTTTTTGGTTATATACACGAGCTGATAAAAACAGCATTGTGTAGAAATACAGCTTTTCCAAACAAGGAGATCCTGACCCCCTATAAAGCTAGGCCCTAGCACCCCCTCCCTAAAAAAATCATAGTTATACAATGTATTCTTTTATGCGCAGTACTTTATACATCCAGTTTAACGAACATCAATAATGCTCTTCAAGGAGATATTTTGTTTACCTTGGGCGATCAGAACTGTTGTGTGAGTCTCGACCCCAGTCACTTTGACCTCGACTCCTGTCACTCGAGCCTCGACCCCTGTCACTATTGCCTCGACTCCTGTCACTATGGCCTCGACCCCTGTCACTTTGGCCTCGACTCCTGTCACTATTGCCTCGACCACTTTGGCCTCGACTCCTGCCACTGCCCCGGGCTCCTCTCGAACTATCACCTCGCCCCCTGCCTCTGGTCGATGGTTTACCAGTTGGCATCATGTAATCTGCTCCATCCAATACGATGTCATCGTAATCATAAACATCACATTCATTTGCTTTTCTGCCGCCACTACCACCACCACCTCCGCCTCTGCCTCTGGAGCGATTGAATTTACCACCGCATCTATTTGGCTTGCCGCCTCTTCTGCTCATTTTGAACCACGCTCAAATAGCATTGCACAATGATGATCGCTGGGTCGATTTTTTTTCGTAGGTGTCAATTATAAGCTTACCTGTAAGGCATAGAAAGATGTGACAAGCAAACGTTTTCTTAACTATGATGATAACTTTGTATACTAAATTTAACTTCACGTAAAAGAATTCCACAATAGAGATTATTGCCTGACGATACCTGTCAAAGATGATCTGATTAGCATGTATCGATTGTTATGTCAAAGATTAACACTGACATTGGTTATTAGGACATTTCGTTTCGCAATTAAGGATGTAGACCTACTGTGATTTTTGTACCTGTACGTTTTACTTTGTTAGTTATTCACCTGTAAACTGAAAGTGGAAATGGCTCTGTTGAGACGAATTGGGTATTGTAAGTTATACATAGCTTATATGTAGGCCTATCTAACTATATACTATAATTTTACATATGTATAGGCCTATCTAACTATATAATATAATTTTACATATGCAATCCCATAGGTTCATTATACCCTCGCAGAACTTTTTCCGTCCGTCCGTTTGTGTGTGCGGACATGCTGACTAGTTTCTAGTGTTACACCCGGTATATGGCATATAAATTTGACAAACTAAACATTTTTAGCTCACCTGGCCCGAAGTGCCATGTGAGCTTATGCGGTACTGCGTCGTTCGTCCGTCAACTTTTTCTTTTAAACGACTTCTTCTGAAGAACTGGAGGACCTAGGGTTAAGATATTTGGCCAGTATAGGTACCTGGGATGGAGTGCTTAGAGTTTCCTCATTAAAATGACCTTGACGTACTTTCAAGGTCACAGGGGTCAAATATGTTCAAAAATTCTAACAACAATATTCTAAGAACCATTTGGACTAGAGTCATGATACTTGGGTATGTTATGAAGACCAGCAGTGCAAATCTTCTTCTTAATTACAGTAATGAGGTCAAACGTCAACTTTAAGTGCTAGTCGGGGTCAAATGCCAACATGGGTTAAAAGCTTTAACAATCTTCTTCTCAAGTTCCATAAGGCACAGGGTCATAATATTTGGCCAGTAGGTACATGGGATGGAGTGCTATAAAGTTTCCTCATGAAAATGACCTTGACTTATAATTACTTTAAAGGTCATAGGAGTCAAAAATGTAAAAAAAAAAAAAAAAAAAACACGACAATATCCTAAGAAGCATTTAGTCTAGAGTCATGATACTTGGGTATGTTATGTAGACCAGCAGTGCGAATCTTTTTCTTAATTACAGTAATGAGGTCAAATGTCAACTTGAAGTGCTAGCCGGGGGTTGAACGTAAACGTTGGTTAAAAGCTTTAAAATTATAATTTCAAATTTCAAACAACAATATCTTGAGTAGCGTTTTAGAGATGTTAAAATATCTTGTGTTCTAGTTACCAAATTTGGTCTGAAGTTACCTCTATGTCAGTTTCATGTAACAAAAGAACCAGGTGAGCGATACAGGCCCTCTGGGCCTCTTGTTTTCTTTACAGTAGAAAAGTTGTTGGGCTCTGTACCATAAATAGAATTCACTATGTATTATTGTAAAAGCAAAAATAACAATTTGTCCTATCAAATACCATATACATGTAAATAGCTTTTAATATTAAAAACAAGGCATCAAGTTGAGTTCATCATTTTCCTAATAATGGATAAATATTTCTTGATTATTTATACTGGTCTCCTATAAGGAAAATAATGTGAATATTTAAAGTTGCTCTAAAGTATAGAGTAGACTTGCATTACAAACATACAGATTAAAAGCATTTTTTTTTTTAAATATTTCAGAATCAAAATGTATGGTTTTGTGAAAAGAGATATGAAGAGCAGTGTGTATAAAGCAGTGTCCAATTTTCTTCTTAAAACTGCACCTGAAGACTGGAGGAAATTACCAGCCAACTCAGCATCATTCCAACTCATGTTTGGAGAGAGAAACAAACTGCCATTTGGAAGACTAGGTAAATGTTATCTGATGCTGAATATGGTACAAACAAAATCCTTCTTGAAATATATTACACTTCTGTAATCGCCCTGCATATATATACCTTTTGGTATTCATACTCAAAGCCAAGTGCCCCACTGATCAACCCATAAGCCTACACCTGACGTTGGTTCCATCACCCTTAACTTTAATCTCATCCTGAATGTTGTACAATGTATCTGAAATTTAAATGCCAGTTTTTATGTATAATTAATTTAAAAAATAGCCAATCTCAGTGTATTTCAGAGACTTCCTGATTTCTCCATTGTTCTGATCTATAGACAAGACAGCTATGTACAAGATGTCTAGATCTGTTTTAGAGTCTGATTAGGAACCTTTTGTGATGTAAATTGAACTGTCTCCAATGATTAGGAACCTTTTGTGATGTAAATTGAACTGTCTCCAAGGTCAAAGACACAGGTTATCACTTTTCAATTTCCCATGACCTTTTGTAAAAAGAGAATTTGTTATCATGTTAATTCAAAATTGCAGACCTTCCAAACTGATATTTCTCAAGAACAGATCTTAAACAGATCTGTATCTTGTTATTTGCACAACCATAACACAATGTGGGAAATGCAGTGTTTTCTCTTGTTTGGAAGGGACTAAAGTAACATTTGGCTTAATTAATATAAGTAATAAATATATGTTTTTCAGGACATGACCCTGGATTGGTACAGCTGGTTAATTACTACAGAGGGTCGGACATTCTCTGTAGGAAGACTGCTATGGTCAGGTACTGGTATTTATTCACAGTCCTAAAGTTTAAGATCATACTTATTATTGTGGCAAACAATATCCTAATTACGTATATAAATGTATGTATCATTTCAACTGATATCAAAAAAGCCTCATTTTAGAATTAAGTGTTCAGGAGATTTGAGGCATCCTTTGACTATACACATGTATTACGTACATCTGGTGTTAGGAATTTCATGATGTATTAGCCCAGTATAGAGCAATATAGCAAAAAAACTGGTAATTGTATGGAGTTATTCATTATTTTAGTTGAGAAATGCTGTATATTTTATTGATAAGGTCACATGTTGTAATACAGTGAGACCTGTCTAATCTGATTCATGAGCATTTTGACATCCTAAATAATCTGACATAATATATATATTGTTATTCCATTTCTCATGAAAACATCAAATAAAACCAGTGTTTTTCTGACTTCCTATTTAATCAGACAAACATGTGATGATGTGTTCAACAGGGTGTCAGATTAGACAGGATTCACTGTAAAAGATGTAAATGATGATACAACTACTTCTTACAACTGTAACTTTTGTCATCTTAATATTTATACATTGTTCTTTCAGGCAAATACAAATATTCATTTGTTTTATTTTTTTTTCTATATCTTTTTCTTTGTAGATTATTCAAAGATTTCTTCAAATCAACATCAAAACCTCCCCCTAAATGGTTACCTGAGTCTTTTATACTTTGTCCTAAAGACATTACCAGAAACTTACAGAAAGCTGGTGAACAAGGGGCTGTATTAGTATGCAAATCACCAAAACCTGATGAAAGGGAAGACTTTTTGAAAGCAGCTAAAAAGCTGGCAAAGCAGGAAGAAAAACCTGTAATATGGATAGCAAAGTCTTCAGCTGGCTCAAAAGGTATCACTTGTATGTACTTGTTAAAGCTCATCTTCAGATTGTGTCCTAATTAGCAGATAATGACACTGATATCATATTGGAATGCAAAGCAAAACTTTGAAATATTTGGAGTATTCTTCATCGTTGCTTCATTATGCTATTAGGATTGCATCCATGCATTAATCAAAGTATCATGTAATATTATAGGGTCCTGTATTATTCTGTAATAAGAATAGAGAATCTTTCATCTGGTTTCCTGATTCAGAAACAGATGTAAATGTATTTCCTAAAGATACACATACCGGTATGTCAGTTAACGTTATGATAAAGAAAACGATTGATGAAATTAAAAAGTCTGTCTCCTTTGATGCTCTACTAACTTGGTAATCAAGAAGATGTTTAAAAATCTTATTCACGGTCTGGAAACAATTAAAGAAACCAGTTTGTTTCCTCAATTGAAATCTTTGTAGCTGTGTTGCATTGTATGCTATTTAGAAAAGGCTATAATTGTATTCTGTACTATTTGTTCTATCTGTTTAAGGAGAGGGAATCATGATATCAAGTAATCCAAAAGAGCTGATAGAATTCGTAGACAAACAGACACAAGGTTTTATAGTACAGAGATACATAAACAACCCGTACCTGTTAACAGGGGACAGAAAGTTTGATATAAGGTAAGACACATATGTATGTTGTTTTGTATACAACCCTGCATTTTATATAGGTACTATAAAGGGACACTTATTTGTATAACAAAACAAAAGGTGCTGTAGCATATATGATGTTACTGTCTAGCAGTTATGTACCTTTTTGAAAAACTGAATGTATGGTCAGGATCACAAACTGTGGTCTTGTATATAAAGTGAAAGAAATATGTTTTGTCAACCCGAGTGGTTCAGAATGTTGTGTCTGAGATAAAGAGGTACATGTACTTGTAAGATTTTCAGCGAGTGCCCAAAAAATGGAATTGGTGTAAAATGAGGAGGTGCACCGAGTAAGTTCCAGTGAGCAGGGTGTTGTAATATGAATTGAAGTTTGGTACATCATAAAGTATTTATTGTGTTATATGCATACAGTCAAATCATTTTAAAACATGGGATGAATGGAGTTTTCTGGGTCTCATTTAGCAATTGGAACCTGTGTTGGACCAAACACTGATCGTGCTGTAAGAAACATTTTCGTATTTTGTGTGGAATAGCAATAATAATAGGATTATGCAACAGTTTTATACCAACTACACCTATCATTAACAAAGAGAATGTTAATTGGGAAGAAATCCTTACATCAGTATATACAGCATGTAATTCTACTTTTTTATCAAAGGCTTTGGAAATCTGATCAGTGAAACATGCAAGGTTTGAAACAGTAGACCTTTTTTGGCATAAAACCATATTGCTCATCACAGATAAGCGGATTTATAAAATTAGAAACATGTACGTCAACCAGTTTTTCGAGACTTTAGATATAATTGGTAGTAAAGATACTGGTCTGTAATTAGAGATTTCATTACCTTTACCGGATTTAAAAATGGGAATAACATTAGCCCTTTTAAAAATACTTGGAAAGATACCATCGTTCAATGAACGGTTGAAAATGTTACTCATAACTCATCAGCACACTCCAGATATGTTGTCGTAGCCACAAGTTTTTGTTACATCTATTTGTGTAAGTGCCTTCTGAACATCAGTACAATTCAAAATAATTGTGCTTAGCGGGGAGTCAAATTCATTTTTTACATATATTTGAGGAAGATCACAATCGAGATCACAGTTCCTAAGGTGTATTCTGATGTTTTGATTACCTGAGGAGTCCCTATGGTGTATTCTGATGTTTTGAATACCTTGGGAGTCCCTATGGTGTATTCTGATGTTTTGATTACCTGAGGAGTCCCTATGGTGAAGTCTGATGTTTTGAATACCTTGGGAGTTCCGATGGTGGATTTTGATGTTTTGATTACCTTAGGAGTTCCCATGGTGTATTCTGATGTTTTGAATACCTTGGGAGTTCCGATGGTGGATTTTGATGTTTTGATTACCTTAGGAGTTCCCATGGTGTATTCTGATGTTTTGATTACCTTGGGAGTTCCTATGGTGTATTTTGATGTTTTGATTACCTTAGGAGTTCCCATGGTGTATTCTGATGTTTTGATTACCTGAGGAGTC